GTGCAGTAGCTTAGTTCACATGTATCAGTATATATAGTTAGTCAGGGTGAGAATCTTTCCAATTAACTGCTAGATTCAAAATTCTTCTGAAGATTCTCAGGATCATTGCCTTACTCATCTTTTACATATAACTGTATGGTTTGACATTGTCATGTTTCCTAGCTCTTCTCCTTTCCTTCTCTTGATTAGTTAGTCCTTGAGATCCTGCTTTCCTTTTACTTGTATTATGATATTTTTACTTCTTTATATATTCTAGATATTAGTTCTTCATCTGAGGAACAGATGGTAAAAATTTTTCCTACTCTGTAGGTTGTCTCTTCAGTCTTGGTGGTTTCTCTTGCTGTGCAAAAGTTTTTTTAATAAGATGAGATCCCAGTTGTTGATTATAATTCTCATGGGATTGGGGTTTTGTTTAGTAAGTCTTTGTTTACATTTATGTCTTTGATCCATTTCAATTTTAGTTTAGTGCATGGTGAGGGATATGGGTCTAGTTTTAGTCTTTGACACATGGAAAGCCAGGTTTTCTAGTGTCATTTAGTAAAGGATGATAGCATTTAACCTTTTTTTATTATTCCTCTTCCAGGAATTTGTTGGAACATTTTTTTTCTATCTGATCTCCCATGAAATTTTAATATTACATATATATCACACATATATTCATGTATGTATATGTCCATATATGTGTGTGTCCCTATATATGTATAGATTTTTGCCTCCCTAGTACATGTACTTGTACTTTAGACACAAAAGAATAAGGTTTTTGCCATCAGGGGGTGATAATACTGCCATTGAAAAGTACATAATATTTATCAGAAATTGATAGGCAAAAACTAAAATAAAAAAAAAGTAGAAAGAAATGCTTTAGAAAAGAAATTGGAAAAAAAAAGAAAGAAAAACTAGTATGTTTGAATTTCTTTCTGAAAAGAAATGCAATTTTTTCCTGAGTTTCCTAGCAGCTGTATTTTATTGAGTTGATTATACACAGGTTTCAGATCACAATGGATTAAATTTGGGTGCTTCATTTTCAACTTAAGATAATCAGAGAAGACTGTTAACTTATTGAGAGGAAGAAGCAGAAGCTGATGACTTTCAATGGAAAAGGATTGTTTAGACTTTTAAAAACATCTTCGACTGCTCACCACCAATGAAAACTGACATCTTCCCAAATATTTCAAAGAAGAAATAAGTCATGGATCATGTGAACATTCCACTTTATATTTTTATGCAGAATATTTAGAGAAACATTTTTCTCTTCCTATAAAATATTTTCAAGCCATAATCTACAAGAATAGCCAGAGATGGTGGGGCATGCCTATAATCCCAGCACTTTGGGAGGCTGAGGCAAGAGGATTGCAAGTTTGAGTTCAGCCTGGGCAACTAAGGGATTTAGCAAGATTCTGGTTCAAATTTTTAAAACAATGTTTTAAGAGGCTAGGGAAGTAGTCCATGGTGAAGACCCAAAATTCAACTCCCATTACAAAAAAGAAAAGTAGTCTATGATATTAGCTGTTAAAATGATACAGAGACTCTGGCAAGTGCAAGGATCTGAGTTCAATCCCCGGTTCCACAAAAAAAAAACAAAAAACGGAGACTGATCCTATTTTAAAATAGTATTGGCTGATGCCTCAGCCTTGTTATCAGAAAGAAACAAAGGATTGGTGGAGAATTTCTACATAAAGTAAAGAACTAGAAGCTACCAAAAGAAAGAGGATACTGAGAAAGATGCTGCAAACTTTGTTACAGAGACCAGCAAAAAACTGTGGGGACTGAGACACGCCACTCCCAGTGTGTCACTAACAAAAGGACTGTGGAACTGAAGACAGCTAAGAAGCAGGTGTGGCAGAGTACCTGCCCCTGTATGCCAGTGTGGGAGGCCATTAACTGGTATCCATTTTATAATAGTGTCAGCCGTTTTCTTAAGTTTCTATTCCCCTGCTGAGTTAAGTTTATGGTCCTTCTCACCTTGCCCATTCCCCGTGAATCACGTGCTATGCCCGAGGGGTTGCACCTTCCCCTGTTGCCTAGATACCTGCTGACCCCAAGAGCAGAGACTTCCTCATTCCTACACTCCCTATATATACCCAGCACCTCCCCTATAAAAAAACGGGACTTGATCAGAATCCTGTCTTGTCCTCATTCTTCGCGTCTCCTGTCCTTTGTCCCCTCTTCAATTCCCCGCTCCTCCCCCTGGTGACCTTCGTTGACTGACCTGCTGGTTCAGGACATGCCAGGGCTTGCGTTTCATGCCCAGTGCCTCGCCTATGTGCACAATCACGTGTAATTAACTAAAGGCAAACGTTGTTTCAGGCTATATACTTAGAAACAGACGGGGAAAAAAATGCACAGTGCTACACGTGGTATAATTCACAATCCTGTCTATGAGCCCCAACAGAAAAGTCTACTTAACAAAGCATTAAACCATGAAAGAAAGAAAAAAAAAAAAAGTCCTACTTCTGTTCTCTGTCTCTGTGAAGTCCTGGGGAAAGAGCTGGGATTTTAGTTTGAACTCAGTTCCTTTTGTGGAGGAGGCATGTATGTGCCTACGGCTTTGTGGGAAGTCTGAGAGAATCTCCTTTCCACAGATGTCTTTGGCAGCCACGCCTGAAATGTCACCCTTAATGAGTGAGTTAGCTTACTTTCAGCCCTCCAGCTCCCCCAGAGTGAGAGATGAGAGGAAGAGTCTTTAGACTGAGGTCTTCTCTGGGAAGAATGGTTCAGACAGCAGCAACATGGAGTCTATGAGGGAGTTTCGGGAAAGACAGGAGAGTGGCAGTTTAAGCCTCAGCCAGGGAAGGAGACAGAACCTCCCTGTGAGCTTTGCGGAGCACAGCGCTGCTGGGACCTGCGCTCCTGGCTGCCTCAGCTCCAAGACAGAGCAGTTCTGAGAGGGAACCAGGACAGACTCATGGAAACCAACCAAACACGCCCAGGCCAGAGAGTGCCGGGAGAACAAAATGTTCATCCAGGTTGTTTGCTGCACCTGTAAATAGCAAACTCCAAATGCTTAGCACAAAGAGAAACTGTGCGGCTGCCTACAGTCCCCGCTGCCAAAGACTGCTGTGTGGTGGGAAAAGGCGATCCGTGAATACCCTTATAACATTTAATACCATCATTATATTGGGCTGCTTTGTGTTTTATTTGGCCCATCATTCGCTGCAGGCTTTCTCACCAACTGAGTTTTATTAGTTTTTAAATTAGAAAGTGCTTGTAAAATGCAATTCATTCCTCCTACAGAGAATTAAATAAGTAAAATGTTTAGAGACTCTTTCATATAAAAATGATGATTAAAAGTAAATTTCAGCTTCTTCACCTGAAGGGCTAGGCATGGCCCCCCAGCATGGAGGGTAGGTGAAACTGGGACCCCAAGGCACAAGGGTGCAAGCTGGATACCGGTGCTGCCTTCAGGGACCAGAGCAAACACTCTGCTCTGAGTCACTGGGCTCTGTCCGTGGCACCATTCCCACCAGGGGACCACAGCTTATCTCCGCTGGGAATTCTTGATTGGCATAAACTTTGAGAAGTGAGTGCGCTTTGGCAAACCTAAATTACCAAAGCCCCACCAAGGTGAGGATGCCAATCGATACGAAGGTCTGGGTGAGATGAAAACCTGAAAGCTGGTGTTTTCGGAAGTATAAGAAGGAATGAAATTCTTCTTTGTATTTTGAGTTTTGCAAATATGGAACAGAAATGGGGTAAGAAATTTAAAGCATACTACATACTGAAGACAGGTATTTAGCACTGGGACAGGTCTGTGAGGAGCTTAGCTTGCCTGTGATTTATTGTTTTGTATAAATATTATATTTGCTGAAACATTTGGTCCTTCCCTTTCCCTCCCTCTCCTCCCGTTCCCTTCCCTCCTCTCCCCTCCTCTTCCCTTCCCTTCTCTTCCTTTCTCTTCCCTTCACTTCCTTAAGTGCAGGGGATGGAAACCAGTGCCCTGAGCATGCTAAACAAGTACTCCACCACTGAACTACACTCCCAGCCCTTGCTAGACCATTTCCAAGTTGCAATCCCAGTTTCTTCCTTTTATGTACTAGATGTTAGTACATCATACTTTTGTTTGCACAAGGATTTCAGGAGTTTTGTTTGCTTTGGAAAGCAGCACATATAATATTAACCTCATTTAACTATCAGAATATTGTCCAAAAGAACTAACCACAGGTCCAAGTGTCTTGTTATCATGCCATGAGATCAGCCTGTGGTGTGTGTGGCGCTGGCTTGCTCTGGCTCTGAGAGCTGACCACAGGCATTGTCTCTTACCGCCACAATCTGTGATCAGGTTTGTAGTTTAGACTTGGTTATTCAAAGCATGTTTTTTCCATAGGAACTGGAAAACTCAACACATGCAGACCTTGCTGCTTCCTAGGGAGCATACCAGGTAGGGGTGGGTGCAAGCGGAAGTACATGGGTGAGTAGTTTTCCCTAAGACAGAATACATAGCAAGCATGCATTCCATCAAGCCGTAGGAAACTCAGTGGATGGACCAGGGATGGGCCCAGTGTTGAGCAGCAGCAGCTGTTAGGCTGTTGTGACACCAAATGTGCCAAAGGAAAGCACAAAGACCTGTCTTTCATTTCATTAAAAGGCAAGTAAATGGGACTATATGAACGATGCTGGGTCTCTCTGCTCAACCAAAGGATCTGAAGAAACAAACCATGCTATTTAAGTGCAGGAGGTTGGAAAACCTCATGCAGCCAGGCTGAATGAAAGTCTGACACTTAAGGGAAAAGTCAAATCCAAAGTCCCCTCCACAAGTTCCCAACAACTGCACCAATACAATCTAATCTCTTCCATCAATCATATACTTCTGGGTATTTGCAGCCAACAGGAAGGATGGGTGGCCCTTCTGTTCATGGAAAAGGCTCCTGAGACATTCCTCCAGCCATCTCGAGCCCTCCCCTGCCTGGCTGGAAGAGTCCTGGGAGCAGTATGCAGCCACTCATGACCCAGCTCTATGGGGAGCCCATTTCCCCCGACAGGCCAAATCATGACTGCTTACCTTTACTATCCGGGTGGCTGGAGAGCTGTTGGAGAACTAGAAGACAAAGAAGAGACTGGCGTCAGCACAGCTGTCCATCTGACCTGGGAGGGCCAGGGCTTTTCACCTGTAACCCAGAAGCTGAGGTTTACCTTCAGCTGTCAGGTTAAACTCAGCAGTCACTTTGCCAAAACCGTTCTTGATGCAGCAGTAATAGAGACCCTGGTCCTTCTGACTGGCTTGAACGATGGCCAAAGACACGGCAGAGTTGTCCCCTGCGCTGTAATAGGGGACATCAATTTTCACACACTTCATCATTCTAAAGTTGCATTTTCCTAATTCCCTGAAGGAAAAAGAAGCCCATGTTTCCTTGCCCTTGTGTTTTCAGCCGATGAGCTGGCTAAGAACAAGATGGGATTAACTGTCTAAGTCAGTGGCTTGTCCTGAGGGAGGGACCACTGGAACTCAGTGATATTCTCATTCCAGCACCTGATATGAATGTACAGAGACTTAATGGAGTTTAAATGCCATCCATAGGGCCAAGGACGGGAATTGCAAGTATTAGGGCTGTCAGTAACACATCTGCTTAGAATTCACCTTTGTGATGTTGCTAATGGAAGTGTCCTACGCTTGAAAGAAACCTGGTAAATCTGGTAACTCCAACACCAACCTAAACACAGATACAATAATGATGCTTAAAGAAAAAGAATGCTTTGCTTTACTGAGGACACTTTTAAATAGTATACCCCCTTAGTGCATTATTATTAGACTCCCTAATACAGACTCTCCTAGTGCATACCAGCCAGCCATCCCCCACCACCCAGTACTCCCAGATCTCAGACACTGACTATGAATATAAAAACTAGTGGTGGTGGTAATGGTGTGTAAGGGGGGTGGTGGAGCTAACGTGTACAGGGCGCTTGGTGGGTATCAGGAGTTGTGCTAACTCACTAAAAACTTAATGCGAGAAGTACAATTACTATCCTCAGGTCACAAACAAGGAAACAAAGTTCAAAACTTAAGCAAATGATCTTGTTCTCACTAAGCAACCTCTGTGAGTAATATACGATGCCTGCCCTCGAGTCTGGGAAACCTGAATGATGACCGTAGCCACAATACTTATTCTAAAGTTTCAAACAAAGCCCTTCGCAGAAAAAAAAAAATGATATTCAAAGTATTCTAACTTTGTTCTATGTAATGAATTATGTTACGCACTCACCAAGATATTCTCTCTCTCTCTCTCTCTCTCTCTCTCTCTCTCTCTCTCTCTCTCTCTCTGTTTGTTCACTGTACATTTCAATCTCAATTTATTTCATAGTTTAATAATAAAAATCTAATTACAGTATCTTGAATTTGTCTCCGCTGTATGACTAACAAATGTGTTCATTATTGGTTGGCTTGTCAATAGATTTCACGTCTCTGATTTATTCATGCCTCTTGTGGAATATACCCAAGGCTGAAAATAAGGTCCACTAAATCCTAATGCTCCCTCCTCTGCTGTAGCCCATACACATGTTTAGAATGTCTGCTTATGACTGCATGCAAGAATCCTGTTCTACGTGGAAGACTGCCTGGCAGGGCAGTAAAGGTCTGAATTAGTGAGAGGGGACTGTGGGACGTCCTCTAGGCCCTACAGACCAGTGCAATACTTGTTGGCATTGAAATGGATGCTCAAGATGCCCCCAGAAGACCGGCACTGAACTGGAAGGATCGCCCCCAGAGCATCTTCCTTGCTGCCTAGTAATTCTCTGAAACTTGCCTCAGAACCATGAAGAGCTTGTGATTAAGGGGCGTCTAGTCTGGGATGCAAAAGATAAATGGAAAGTGGCAGTGAAAAGTAACTTGTACCTTTTGAAATAAGCCAGGAAAACCAAGTTTCATCTCCTGATATCCTTCAAGGATAAACATTTTTATATTTAGGGGGAAACTTGGCTAAATGCTGGTGGAGCACAACAGGAGCCTAATCAGTTGTAGTGAAAAATGCAAAAGAAGCCTTTGCCTAGAGGGAAATCAAAAACAGTGAACTTCGCTGGAGGGAGAAGGGCTCCACCCTGGAGACTGCTCTTGCAGAGCCCAGTGCCCACGGCCAGTCCTAAGGAGCCAGGCACACTTGATAGCACCCACGCATTCCCTCCAGTCTGGGCTGCCAAGTCCCTGCTACGGCTCCCAGTGGGATCCTGCCCTCAGCAACAGCCAGCCCACCACTTGCTGGTGGCCCAGCAGCAGTGACGTGACCCGTGCTACAGTAATGTGGCCCACACAGTGGCCGGCCAGCTCACGCCACGTGGACTCTTTCCAAAGCCCAGGGTACTTAGAAGTGCCACTTTCCCCTGAGTGGGGAGAGGAAACCAGGAACACCGGAGGGCACTGGCTGGTGATCTCTAGGGAGTCAGGACAAGTCACTGCTACCCAAACAGGATGAACATGCCCCTAGTTTCTTCTTCTCAGTTTCCTGAGTCCACTAGCAGAGTGCAGGGCCATGGAAGTTTTCTGACAACTGACTTCCAAACTAGCCTATTAAGTACCCGGAACTTGGACAAAGAGAGGATGGCTGCATATCCTTCACAGGTCACCATTCAGCCAGCTCTCCAGAGGGCTGGTTAGTTACCAGAGAATGCTCATGTGCTTGACTTTGCTCTTCACCATTTACACAGAACCCCCAGCCACTCCTTGGTGATGAGCTAACTTGGAGGTTTCTGTACAGTCCACAGTTTAGGATCTGTTTAATGTTGGCCCATTTTACAGCTATTTATAAATTTATTTCTACATTCCTTTGCCTGGTTAACTATACAAATTTCCATTCCTCAAATGCTCATTTGGTATATTTTGTTCTGTTTTTTGTATTTTCAGGGAGGGTCTACAGGGTGTTCAGGGTCTTACTACTAGATCGGACTTGTAGTGATCCACCTGTTTACAGCCTCCCAAGAGCTGGGATTACAGGCGCACGCCACCATGCCTAGTCTCAGTTGCCATCTCAGTGCACCCCAGGGATGGGGTTGGCATGACAGGCCCAGGGATCGAACCCCCGGCCCTGGCACCTGCTTACAGGCGCTTTAATCTGCTGAGCTATTTGGCTGGTCCTCAAATGCTCATTTGAACAGCTTCACCATCTTAATGGTCCCCTCATTGTTTGATGAGTGCAAGCCTTTGCTACACGCTAATGTTACCCTTAAGAGATTTCACTTCTCTGAAAATTATACTTTGGTGAGGGCTATTGTTGGGATATTGCTTGCCCTCCAACGGTCCCCAGAGTGCTATGTTTAGAAGGTGCTGTAGACTGTTATCAGGAGGGGCTTAGCAGGAGGTGCTTAGGTCACTGGAGGTGTCCCCCAACAGACATCAAAGAACTAAAGCCTTTCGTTTCCTAGCTTTGAGCAGCTTGCTTGACCACATGCTCCCACCACTGTCTTCCAGCACTCCAATAAGAGGCCCAAAGCAGTAGATTCACATGGTTTTGAAATGGAATCTCCAAAACCATGAACCAAATAAATCTTTTCTTTCCTTTATTTTTTCCATTTATGTATTTGGTACAGGGTCTCACTACACAGTTCAGACTCATAGTGATCCTCCTCTTTTCAGCTTCCCCAGCGCTGGGATTACAGGTGTGCACCACCACACCTGGACTTGTTCAACAGTTCTGCATGCCCCAGGGGTGGTGCCAGTGTGCCCTGCAGGATCAGGTATTGAACCCCGTTCCATGTGCTTGCCAAAGCAGTTGCATAGTCCACTGAGCTATCTCACTGGCCCTAAATCTTTTCTCTTTGTAAGTTAATGGACTCAGGTATTTCAGTACAGTGGTAGAAAGCTAAGACAAGGCAGTGAAGGAGTTCATGAAGGAGCAGATACAAAGATACACTCTGCTAGAGGTAGAGAGAGAAATTATCTAATATTTGGAAGAATGCAAATGACTTTTCAATATACAAAGGATTCATGACTCCCAAATATTCTCTCAAGTGTAACTGTGGAGAAAGCAAATAGGTTCAACTGCCAACAAGAAATGAACAAACGTCATAGAGAATTTAAAGACCCTTCAACCTAACTAGTGACATATATTCCTAATGGTTTCTGTAAATATGCCTCCAATAGAAAAAGAATCTGGAAAACTTGAACACAAATTATGAACTTAGAGAAAGGCTGGTTAATTAAAAATTGCTGAAAACTCACGTTAATTGTTCTTGGCTGACAACTTCAGAAAATAATTAAAATGAATGATTAGTACTATTTGATAAAGCTGTAGGAAACTCCTTGATTTAAAAACCAAACTACTTCTTTTCCATTTTAATTATTTTTAAACCATACAAAAGACAGTCTGGGTAGTGGTGACATTTTAGGTCAAGTGGTTATTGTATCAATCACAATCCAATTAGATTTTCCAGAGTGAGCTTAATAGAAATGAAACTATAGCCCAAGTCTTACAAGGCTGCCTTTGGGGAATAATTTCCAGACATATGTTTTAACCAGACATTATTTAATTTAATTAATAGGAAAACTCGGGCTTTCTCACGCTGTCAGCCTGGTGTGATGCCTCCCCTGGCAGTGCCCAGCCTCTGAGTGCTGTATGAATTGTGATGGTTTCCACTGAACCAGGCGATCTGTTTCTAGAGTGTATCAGATGAAGCAAGAGGTGCTTTAAGGAGCGATGAGTCAGATTCATCCCACACAAGGTCTTTTTGGCAACGATTCTCACTCTCACTGCTCTTCTATCTCTTCTCGGACTCAAAAGCAAACAGGTCTCCCATCTTAGAGATGGCTGCTTGTCATCCTCCGTAGTTGTTACCTCTCTATAACTTCGTGGATACCCTTTCTTAGCTTTGTTTGACCTTTGCCATATTAATGGGAATTTATGAAACAGTTCACACACCTAAGAAAAACTTACAGACCTACAGAAGAGATAGCTTTTTAACCTAGGGACCTCAGATCCTCAGGCTAGAACATTATTTGATGTGTTTGATAATTTTAAAATGCTAATGAAAGGTTCTGTGACCTCCTTAGAACCCAGAATTCATCAGTGGCAGAACCATGGAAAGAACCTTCCACGGTTTTCCCTGTGCAGACAGACATCTGCATTCAATTCTTATGTTGCTTGAATATTGTGGGTGTGGAGTCTGCTTCATTTTGCCTTTTTACTTCCTGTAATTTATTCTTCTGTTTTACAACTTCACTAAGAAACAAGCAGTTAACCATTGTAAAAAGCAACCAGAGACCAATATCCTACCTTCTCTGCACTTGGGCTATTGACTTGGAATCTTTCGTCCACCAGATAGTAGAATCTTCATGAATTTCTGCGAACTGGCAGCTCAATTTTACATTTCCAGAATGGTCAGGGAACATCTCTGCTTGGATCTTTTTCAGTAATACTGGAGCTAGAAGCAAGAGTTTTGCGGGTCAGCATAGGCAACAGATATTCCCATTTCATCTCATGTAATTCTTACAACAATCCCAAGAGACAGAGATAATCCCCCGATTTATGAATAGGAAAATAAGTGTGTGATGAGATGTGGCTTGCTTAAACACAAACAGTAAGAAAATGAACAACTCAAACTAATAAAAAAACTGCTTTTCATTACTTAAGATTTCTAGTGAAGAGCTAGGGAGATTAGGGAGATAGCCCCTCAGGGGTCTAAGCAACTGCGTGGCAAACACAAAGACCCGGGTTTGATTCCTGGTACCACATGCCGTGCTGGCCCCAACACTAGGCATGGTGGGGAACACCTGTAATCCCAGTGCTGGGGAGGTTGAGACAGGAGGATCACTATGAATCCAGGCTGCATAGGAAGACCCTGTACCAAATAAATTTTTATTTATTTATTTATTTATTTATTTATTTATTTATTGGCAGAACCAGGTATTGAACTCAGGCCCCTGTGCTTGCCAGGCAAGCACTTATTCTACTGAGCTATCTCTCCAGCCCCCCTCCAAATAAATTTTTAAAAAATTCCTAGTGCAAAAGTCCAGTGAGATAGCTCAGTGGCCTAAAGCACCTGTTTAGGCAAGCACATTTCAATCCTGGCACCACATGCCACACCAGCCCCACTCCCAGGGTGGGCTGAGCTGACCATAGAGTCCAGGGCACAGTGGCACATGCCCATAATCCCAGCACTGGGGAGGCTGAAAACAGGAGGATCACTATGAGTCTGAGCTGCATAGGGAGATCCTGTAACAAATATATATATTACAGTTTTTGAAAAAA